CCCCGAGGCCGCCCCGCGGGAGGCCCCGCCCACCGCGCTGCCCGCTGCGGGGCCGGCGCAGGAGAGGACCCACCCCCGGGCAGTGTCCTCCTTACCCCGAGGGCGGGCCGGGCTCGATCCGGGAAGGAGGTTGCGATGTGGGCTGCGCGCCAACTAGGTGCGCCTTTGGCGCTAGGTTGGTGGTTCCCATTACCCTGGAGGCTCTTTTCCGTCCTGATGTGCCTGAGCCTATACTGGTGTGTAGGCGGCTTGATTTAATTGGGGCGAGGTGGATGAAACCTTCTGTCAAGCCCCTGCCTGATTAAACCTGTGCCATGGAAATGCAGGCCTCAGATGGGAGCCCAGAAACAACACACCGGGCCAACCCCCTCAGTTCGGGGAAAAAACTGTAATTATCTGGTAAAGGTACATAATGTGTTTTGGTGACCCAGGGCAAGGGCAACCACCCAGGACCGAAAGGAGAGAAGAAAAACGCTGAGAGCCTAAAAAAAAGGTGCCAGATAACGCAGAGTACGGTAGGCTTTGGTTCCAGCGAGCAGAGGTTTGTGCCTGTGCCTTCTGTCAGTAATTGTACCCTACTCTCCAGGCAACCAACAACCTCCTGCTCTTCCAGCTTAAAGACTGGAAACAACTCCAGAGTCGCCAGAGTTAATTGTGAAAACGTAGATAAAACACCAGTTACCTTTCGCGTTCAGCTCCACCAAACTTTCCCCTACCTGGAAATGCGCTGGGTCACTGCCCTTATCCCTGCCTTTGCACCCAAGTACAATACAGCTGAGGCAGCTTTCCTCTCTGCTCCTTTTGGTAACTTCGCTTGTCCTTTGAATTGCAGTGCCTGAAGCCCTCCCTGCCCTTTATTCACAGCGTACCAGGGTGTCACTTCTTTTGTAAAGGTCACAGCCTCTCTACAAAGTGATCCTGGCCAATGATAGATGCAAAACCTCTACTTGCAAGGTGCAAAACCTACAAATAGAGGCAGTGTACTTTAATAGAAATAGTAGAACATCAACTTTTTTCGTACAGACTTTGAACTCCTGCTGTGTACTGGGGCATGGTTAGTTGGATGCGGGAAACACACAGGAAAGGTCTAAGAAGGCAGATATACAGAGAGATAAATAAATATAAGCCACTGAGACATATATGAGGAAGACTTCCATTTCTAAGCATTTTATTTGCATTTTGTGTGTTTCTATATGTAATAAAAAATATACAATTTATAAATGAATAAATATTTACATATAAAGTGAATATCCAGAAATACATACTCAAAAGCAATTTGCTCATGAAGTATATAACCAAAACAGTGTATAGGCACCAATAATAGAGTGTGATAATACTTTCCTAGGACTAAACAGGCGGTTGTAGGACCACCATGAGCGAAGAAACCCCGAGTAGCTAAGTGATTCAAGACAGGAGAGGAGGCCAGGGCAGAGGCAATATCCTGCACGTGTTCATCAACAGCGGGGGAAAAAAAAGACAAAATATCACGAAGAAGGCAGAATTCAGAAGACAGAAATTCCCTCACCTCAGAGAAAAGGTGCACTACGGAACAGCCACTCAGAAAATGAAATGAATTGCGCAAGTTTTTTCAGCAATATTCACCTTCTTTCCTTTCTTTTCTTTTTCTAAAAACCTTTCACCCACTGAGTATAAAAGCAATGTGTGGAAATGTAAGGGACTTGGGATGGCCAAAACCTTTTTGAAAAAAATCTTTTTTTCCAATTTGAACACTTATGTCATTTTTCTTGCTAGCCTCATATCTGTAACTTAAAGGGGGAGGGGTTTATTCTGGCTCATGCTTTCAGTCCATGGTCAGCCGGTTCCAAGGCAGCAATGGCATGGCAGAGGGCCATAGCAAAGGAAAGCTGCCCACTTCATGGCCAGGAAGCAGTAAGCAAAGGAGGGACATACACCCTCTCAGGTCACTCCCCAGTGACCCGCCTCTTCTGACCAGACCCCACCTCCTAACAGCAAGTCAGCTACAATACCCCCATAATTCAATCCCCTTCCAAACAGGAGGCCTTGGGGGCCATTTTAGATCTAACCCATAACACCCTTACATTGATGGTAAATTAATCTTTGATAAAACTATTCAGGAGGGAAAAGGTAGTGTTTTCAACAAATTTTGCTCAGATAGTTGGATATCCACATGCAAAAGAAGGAAGAGGGGCTGGGGATTTAGCTCAGTGGCACAGCACCTGCCTGGCAAGCACAAGGTCGTGAGTTCAATTCCCAGCACTGGAAAAAAAAAAAACAACAAAAAAGAAAAAAGAAAAAAAAAGAAGAGACCCTGCCACAATAAACAAAATACAACTCAAAATAGATCGTAGATCTGAGTGTAAAAGCTAAAACTATAGAATTTTTAGAAGATTATATAAAAAAGTAATTATTTGTAATCTTACGTTAGGCAATGTTTTCTTGCATAAACACCAAAAACAGCCCAAAAAAGAAAAAAACATAAATTAGACTTCATCATAATTAAAACTTTTGCTGCAAGTGACATCAAGAAAGCAAAAAGACACCCCAAAATGGGTGAATGTATTTGTAAATCATATATCTAATGAGAGACTTATATCTGGAATATATGAAGAACTCATAACTCAAAAATCAAAAGACAACTGAAGCTGAGTGTGGTGGTACATACTATAATCTCAGCATTTGGGAAGCTGAGGCAGGAGGATGAAAGTTTGAATTCTGGTGAGACAACTTAGCAAGTCTCTGTCTCAAAATAAAAGGGGCAGGAATGTACCCAATGTGAAGACCCTGGCTTCAATCCCTAGTATCACACAACACATCACCACCACCACAACAACAGCGACAGCACAATTAAAAACTCAGCAAAGAATCGGAATAGACATTTCTCCAAGGGAGATATGCAAATGGCCAATATATACATGAAAGATGTTCAACATCATTAACCTTTAGAAAAATGTAAATCAAAAATACAATGAGTGCCACTTTCCACACATTAGAGAATGGCTATAATCAGAAAGTCGATAACAACTGTTGCCAAAGATGTGGAGAAATTGGATCTGTTTCATAGTGCTGATATGTAAAATGAGAGCAACTTTGAGAACACTTTTATAGTTTATCAAAATGCTAAAAAAAGTTATCCTATTGTAGTGGACTGACAACTGGTGGTCAACTTATAACTCCATGCTGAGCTGAGTAAGCATGGTGCTGGGTGTGGGAAACCTACCTGGGGACTGTTGCCAGCAGCATAAGAGGCCATACTGGAGAAGAAGTTAGGCTGTTGGGAGCTGGTAGAAGCTATAAGGAGCTTGTCATGCTGGCTTTCCTGATGAACTTGGCTGTTTTCATCCTCCAAGGAGCTCGGGACCTCGTTGGCACTGAGAATGGCTTTGGTTCACTTTGAGGGAGCTCTGGTCCTCACTTTGAGCATTGCTTCCTGGCTCCAGAGGGGAAGATGGTGCACTGCTGGTCTCCTGGAGAAGCTTGCTATGTTGGCTTCCCTGATGGGAACTCAGCTATCTTCATTACTGGAGGAGCTCAGATGTCACTGTTGCTGAGGATGTCTGTGGTACCTTTAGGGAGAGCTCTGGTTCTCATTTTGAGCATTGCTTCTTGGCTCCAGTATAGATCTGTCAGCCTGCTAGCACAGATCCTTCATCCCACTGGCACAGACTTTCTAGATTCTACCACTGACCTTTGGGCTTTCCCAATGCAGATGCATGAAACAGGCCTGCTTGAGATATTGTTATGGGCTCTAGGCCCCCAGGTGGACTCATGGGAGGCATTGTTATGAGCTCTATGTCTTCAGCTGGACTCATGCAGGACATTTCTGTGGGATCCAGGCCCTCAGCTGGATACATTGGTCTTAGTGTTTGGACAGATATCCAGCACTCCCTTGTATATCATTTTTTGGGTAACTATTATAAATAATCTTAGAAAATATGTGTCCTGAATTGTATTGTTCCTTTTGCAAAATATCCCCCAAACCATAACACCTATGATCTGGAAAATTTACATCTAGATGTATACTAGGAGAATTTTAAAAGTGCATTAGAAAAATAAAATTTGTACAAAGTGTTCATAGCAGTATTATTAACAATAGTCAAAAAGGTAGAAACAAGCTAAATGTCCATCAACTGACAGATGGATTAAAAGGTCATCCATCCATATAATGAAGTATTATTTAGCAATAAGAAGGAAAGAGCCAAGTGTATTGGTACATGCTTCTAATTCTAGCACTCCAGGAAGCTGAGGTAGGGAGATCAAAAGTTCAAGCCAAACCTAGACAAGTTAGCAAGACCTTGTCCTAAGAATAAAAAATAACAAAAGGGCTAGGGATGTAGCTCAGAGCAAAGGCCTGGGTTGAAGCTCCAGTACTGCAGGTGGGGTGAGAGTGAGGAGACGGAATAATAGGCAAATCTATATAGATAAAAAGTAAATTAGTGGGTGCCTGGGGCTGAGAGAGGCAGAAGGAATAGGCAGTGACTGCTGATGGGTACTGGGTGTGTCTTGGGTATAATGAAAGTGTTTTAAAATTAGGTTGTGGTGATGGTTGCATAACACAGGATATACAAAAAGAAAAACCCATTAAACCATGTACTTCAAATGGCTGAACTGCGTGGTATGTGAATTATCTCTTAATAAAGCTGAATTTAAAAACTACAGTTTCATGTTGGAAAATTTAGAAAATACCAAAAAAAAAAAAAAAAAAAAAAAAGGATTAAAAGAAATCACTCAAAGTCCCACCAACTGGTAATATCCATTGTCACATTTAAGTGTATGTTTTCTCAGTACTTTATCTGAGAATTGTTTTACACGATAGAGCTAATATTATCTTTAAGTTTCATATTCATTTTAAGCATTTCTCATATCACTAAAAATCTTTGTAAATATATTAATAGTTATACAATTTTGTAGATATGCC